GAGAGACAGAAAGAGAGAAGTCAGCCTCTAGGGGGGATGGCTACACTACAACCCCTTCTCCATTCTCCTCTTGGGATCTTAGGTACATACACACAGGTGCCCAGCGTGAGTTTAAGGCACCAGGTGCGGGACTTGAACCACAGTCGACTACATGGGAGTCTAGTTATTTAGCCATATGGCCATCTGATGGTCCCAGAGAGACTCACTTTCTTTTCTCTGTTTCCTGCAGAATCACTGCTCTCCACAGAATCATCCACAGTATTAACAGGTACCTTCCCCACACTGCCTCTATCAGACATAGAAATCCATGTACTCGAGGGTTAGGGTTGACACAGGAGAGAACTGGGGATTAGAAGTGTCAGGTCAACTTGCAAACCAGGTTCCAGGTGTGAGTGTGTGGTACGGGTCCAGGTTCAGGGGATCTTGCTCTGAGTATTTATCCCCAGACTTTAGAGACCTTAGGTCTCCAAGCTCTCATAGCTATTTGCAAAAGAAGGAGAGAGAGGAGGGCTAATTGGCTATTGTCTTGGGAGTTTTTATTCAGGACAGAAGAGTGAATACAGGAGGGTCAAAGCTTCCTTCTGAGTCCAGACCTGGCATAGCCTCCTAAAGAGGCTAGAAGTGTCAGGAGTCAGAAGTGCACCCCTTACACAACCAGGCATCCATGGTCAGGAAGGAAGGATATCACGTAACATTTCCCTGTGTGGGCTTTAACACACAAGTGGGGGTTTTGTCTATGGAAAGCAGCCCTGGGTGCACCCAACCTTCACAATCTTGAAATTATCAGAAGTGCGTTGAGTAATAACTGTGTCCTTTCTAGGAACTGATGCAGGTTTTGCCCTGAGGCTGGTGAACGGAAGTGACCAATGTCAAGGCCGGGTGGAGGTCCTGTACCGAGGCTCCTGGGGCACCGTGTGTGATGACAACTGGGACATCAATGATGCCAACGTGGTGTGCAGGCAGCTGGGCTGTGGCTGGGCCAAATCTGCTCCAGGATATGCCCAGTTCGGTCAAGGCTCAGGTCCGATTGTCCTTGATGACATGCGCTGCTCAGGACACGAGTCCTACCTGTGGAATTGCCCCCACAATGGCTGGCTCTCTCATAACTGTAACCATGGTGAAGATGCTGGTGTCATGTGCTCAGGTGGGCATCGAAGACCCTCAGACCCCAATTTCCAGGAATGGGCTTTGTTTGGTGCACCTCTTCCTGTACCTAGAACTTCATCTCTGTGTGCTTGACGTGGAGATGTGGATGTTGGTGATCTCCCTTAGACAGATGTTTCCTGTGTGATAAATGTTGGTTGGTTCAGTAGTGGGGTGTACACACAGGCCTAAGCTCCCCAAAGAAGCTCTGGGCCATTTAACTGTGCTCTACAGACTTAGGTGGTGCCATCCTCATAATATGACCCTGAAGAGGTCAATGTTGTAGTCTGCTTTTCCTTCCAACTCCTTGAGTCTAAAATGACAGATGTTCTACATTATGCCTGTTTGAAACTTTATTTTGTCTTTCTATTAGCTTCTTAGTTCCCATCCCAGACATAGAAATCCTTGTAATCAAGGGTTAGGGTTGACACAGGAGAGAACTGGGGATTAGAAGTGCTTGCCAAATGTGACTATTGTAGCATTGTAATTGTTCTATCCCTCCTGAGCTTATTTCATGCTTTTTTTTTTTTCTATAAGGTAGGAGAATTTGTAAGAGAAGAATAAATGTTTCCTCAGATAATTCTGGAATAGATTAATGATGACAACTGTTGTGCACAGAGATCAGACAGACATGCCTGACAGTCTTAATTGGGAGAGAGCTGTTCTAGCCCCCTTGTTGGCATGTAGATAGATCACACTTAGATATTAAGAGCTGCTGGAGTAAAAGATTCTGCTCCAGGGTCATTCTCACCGAGGAAGTCAAGTGAAGTCCAGAAGTCCTGAGTAAGGCAAGAAGAGCAATCTTCATATACCTTGGAATGGGAAGGAGTGGGGAATGAAATGATTTCTGATGAGAGTCACAGTGGCAGGTCCATAAGTTTTCTTTGTGGCTCTCATCTCAAGAAATGACAATTTAGACATTGCCTGGCTGGCGTCTATCCTTATTTTAGGAGCACACATGATTTCTTCTCTGTCATCAGGCTGGTAGGAGAGTCTATCTCCATAGCTTTTCTCCATTCTTTAATAGAAGGAACATTTGAATCTCAGGTGGCAGGGACCATGTGGCCCAGCACTGATGCCACCCCACAGACATTCCTTTCCTGACATTGCCTGGACCCCCGCAGCACCGATCAATTGCCACATAGTATAAGCACCATTTTGTTTGGGCTGAACCTTCGTGGTGGCCATCTCTGCCTCTATGTCTGAGGCTACAGGCTTCTTGAGTCTGAGAACTCAGCTCTGTACCTGTCCCTCCCGAATTCACTATGTAGAATGGAGAAAGCACAGGAAGCACATTTTGCCTTTTTTTTTTTACAATATGGCTAGCATTTCTGCCCTGTACATGCTGGGGAAGAGTTTTATGGTTGCATACGTTTTCCTGATGACATTCATGTCTATTTTTCTCTTCCTTTACATTTTATCATTGCTCATTCTTATAGGTGGCTGAATACCTGCGTTTATCTTGCTTAATGTTTAAAATTTAAATTGAAATCCCTTAAGATTATATCAATAATTCTATTTCCTTGCAAATCTGACAGGTATATTTTTATCTTCGTATTGGCTATTTGTTTTGCCTGCCCTTGCTTTAATTGTGTCAGGTCTTTACAGAAAGACGGAAGGTTTGGATCTTTACCAGATCGTCTACAAATCTCAGGATTAGGAAGGGGGTTAGGCAGGGAAGAATTGAGAAGATCTGAGCCCTGCTTTTTCTAGAAAGAAAATTGCGTCATATTTTGTTCAGTCTGAGCTTTGGAATGAGAATCACTTTTTTATTTATTTATGTCTTTTTGGTAGAGTTTTTTGCTATAGGGTGTGTGCACTCACCAGAAAGACAGAGACAGAAAACGAGAAATCACCTCCCAGAGGGGATGGCCACGCCACAATCCCTTCTCCTCCATTCTCCTCTTGGGATCTTGGGCACACACGCACACACGCCCAGCGTGATTTTAAGCCACTGGGTCCGGGACTCGAACAGCAGTCAACTACATGGGAGTCCAGCGACATAGCTATTACTCTCACTGCTGGTCCTGAGAATCACATTTTTGAACCAAAGATAATTCTTGTGGCCACTCCACACACACCGTACGGAGGTGCCATTCCTGAGCAAAGATGAGTATAAACCAGAGCAAAAGCCTTGTGTACTTTTTTCTGCTTTGAAATATTTTGGATTTCTGAATCTTGAATCTGGATTACAGTGTAAACTAGCACGAGTGGAGGCCAGGTGGCCACCTGTGACAGATCCTGTACCTCTGTAGTGTGAAGTGAATCCAGACAGCTAGAGAGCATGTGGAGCCCAGCTGACTCTGCACTCTGGGTTGAAAGATGAGAGCTCTCATTTATGCTTAAAATGATTTTATGCATTTATCTCCACAAGGAGTTCTGATGTGAACTCTCAGATTCTTCTGGTAAGGAGGTGAGGAGTGCGCAGGGACTCAGGAGATTTCTCTCTCCACCAAGGGGCTTACTGTCCCATCTGATGTTCACTGTTCTGTGAGGGCACTCATTAAACCCTCTACTTTGCTAGTGTGCGTGTGTGTACGTGTGCATTCTGCGTGTGCTTGGGCGCTTTGTGTTTCAGGTAGGGATGGCTCTCCTTCTCTTTAGTGCTCCTGAAATGCCCTCAGATGCTCCATAGTCATATCTGTATCCAGAATAGGCAGAGGCGCTGCCTGGGGAGTAAGGGAGTAATCGATGTGCCTGGAGGTTACAGTCAGCTTTCACCCCGATTCTCCCCGTTCTCCTAGCATTTCGCTCCATATGCCTGAGCCTGTGTAATGCACTAACTAGTACGTGATTCAGTGAATGGAGCGGGCACCTGAGCAGGTCTCCCAACTGACAGGAGAGAGATGGAGTGTCCATACCTATATCCCTCAGGGCCTCCATCCTATGAATGAGCTTGCTGAGCACGAGTCTCTTGCAGATACCCAGGGAACAAGATTCAAGGTCCAGTAGGAGAATTGTTATCATTGTCTGGTTCAGACAGCCTTTCTTTTTGGCCTTTTCCTCTTTAATTCTAATTCTAGCCTTTCTCATCATTGCCATTTACAGGAACATGGGCTACCACATTCTCATCTCCACCTCCAACAGGTAAGTAATCCTATAACCCATCCCTGGTGCTTTTGTCCACTTCTAGATGTACTTTGGATGTAAAATGATAGGGTGAGGCTTTGAGCAGTCTGTTCCTTCTGTGTGCCCCTGTGGTTTGGGTGTTGGCATGGGGGTTGAGGGACTTTGGAGTTTCTGAAAACCAAATGCTTGGATGATGTTAAAATGAGAGGGGCTTGTTACTTGTCTCCAGTGAGATCCTCCTGCAATTGCTCAGGTATAATCCTCCTCCACATGTTTTTGAGTAGCCCATGAGGTTTCACTAATCCTCTTGGGACATTGAATTTGAGAGATTTTATGACCTCAGACACGTTCTCTATTCTTTTTGAGCCATGGTTTCTGATAGCTACTTTGTGGGGTCTTAAAATGAATACCGAGGTAATGACCAAATTTATTTAATTTAATTTAATTTTAATTTTTCATGTTCCAAGTATATTATGAGTTTATTAAAGAGAGACTTACTTTATTTTCAAAGTTTTTGCCATAGGGTGTGTACGTGCGCTGGAAGGACAGAGAGAGGTAAAGAGAAAAAAGCGAGAAATGACCCACCAGTGGGGATGGTCATGCCACAATCCCTACTCCTCCATTTACTTCTCGGGATCTTGGGCATACACCCTCATGTGCCAAGCATGAGTTTAAGCCACCAGGTCCGGGACTCAAACTGTGTTCGAATACATGGGAGTCTAGTGGCGTAGCCATTACACCATCCATCAAATACAGGGGAGTCCAGTGGCGTAGCCATTACACCATCCGCTGGTCCCAGAGAGACTCACTTTCTTTTTTCTCTTTCCTGCAGCATCATCACTCACCACACAATCATCCACAATTTTAACAGGTACCTACCCCAACACTGTCTCTATTGGAATAGAAATCTATGTACTTGAGGGTTAGGATTGACAAAGGAGAGAACTGGGGATTGAGGGAGTCCAGTGGCGTAGCCATTACACCATCCGCTGGTCCCAGAGAGACTCACTTTCTTTTTTCTCTTTCCTGCAGCATCATCACTCACCACACAATCATCCACAATTTTAACAGGTACCTACCCCAACACTGTCTCTATTGGAATAGAAATCTATGTACTTGAGGGTTAGGATTGACAAAGGAGAGAACTGGGGATTGAAAGTGTCAGATCAACTTTCAGTACACTTTCTACATGTGAATGTGTGGGTATGGGTCCAGTTTCAGAAGGTTTTGTCCTCAGTATTCATGTCTAGACATTGGAGACCTTGGGTCTCCAGTGTCTCATAGCCATTTGCGAAACAAAGAGAGAGAGGAGTGGTCATTGCCACGAAACAAAGAGAGGAGTGGTAATTGCCACTTGTTTGGGGAGTTTTGGTTCAGGGTGGAGGAGTGAGCACAGCAGGGCAATCATGGGGTCAAAGGCTCCTGCTGAGTCTGGACCTGCCCCAGCCTCCTAAAGAGGTTGGAAGTGCCAAAAATCAGAAGTGCACCCTTCATAGAACAAGGCACCCATGTCCCAGAAAGGAATATCCCTTGACATTTCCCTGTTTGAATTTAACACAGAAGTAGGGGTTTGGCCTATGGAAAGTGGTCCTGGGTACACCCAACCTTCACATTCTTGAAATTACCAAAAATGAATTGAGAAATATCTGTGTCCTCTTTAGGAACTGTTGCTGGTTTGGCCCTGAGGCTGGTGAACGGACGTAACCAATGTCAAGGCCGGGTGGAGGTCTTATACCAAGGCTCCTGGGGCACTGTGTGTGATGACAGCTGGGACATCAATGATGCCAATGTGGTCTGCAGGCAGGTGGGATGTGGTTGGGCCACATCTGCCCCAGGATATGCCCAGTTTGGTCAGGGCTCAGGTCCAATTGTCCTTGATGATGTGCGCTGCTCAGGACGTGAGTCCTACCTGTGGCATTGCCCCCACAATGGCTGGCTCTCTAATAACTGTAACCACGGAGAAGATGCTGGTGTCATCTGCTCAGGTAGGCATTGACGACCCTTGGTCTCCAATCTTCAGGAAGGGTTTTTTTTTTTTTTGGGGGGCATTCC